TACTCTTATATAAATAACCTTATAAACGAGTATAATTAAATTAGTATATAATATCATTGATTAGGTATAATAATATTATGCAGATTATTTGTATAGATACTTCACAATTTACATTGCCCAATATACCTCGGACATTGTATACAATGCCCGGTCACTGCATACAATGCCCGGACATTGTATACATTGTCCGAATTTTCCACTTTGCCCGTAACATATATACCTTTATTTGTAATCCCCATGACTCCATTCATAATAATTGTAGTAAGTTTACTATAATAACGAAAAATATTATGTAATATTGTTTTAACAAAAATGTTTGTGAAACTTACAGATGACATTGCTAGAAGATTTTGAGGAGGTAACGGATTTAGAATGTATCGAAAGTTTATCTAACGAAGAATATCTAATGAAACACGTCACTCCTACTTTGACAAAATTGATAGTTCAAGTTGCAAAAGTGAGACCAAAGAATCCTGTTGATTTTTTGGTTAACTAAACTATTCAATTATCTATTTAATATTTTGAAATTGTATTATTACAATTTAATAATGTGTTTAATTATTTCACTTGTTAGGCATACGTGGCACTTAAAGAGAACCCGGAAGGTTTACACAACTTTCCAGGCTACTCAAAAGGAAGTGTGAAAGTACAAAAAATATTGGAAAAGTTATTCTCCTTACATAATTATAATGACAATGATATAATAAAATCAAAATCATTAATGGACGTTTTGATAGCGCATTTTACGGATGACGAAGATCCTCAAGACAGTGAAGAAGAATTATTTAAATATAAGCAAGAATTATTATAATTTATCCATAAAATGTTATACTTATTTCACATTAGTAAAATATTTAGTGCATATAAATATTATTAATAATTATTTTTTGATTCTCTATACATGACGTAAATTTGCTATGTGTATACTAGGTATATTAGTTTTTTTTTTTCGGGTTTTAAAAATAATAAAGGTACCTTTACTAAAAATTGTATTATAAAAAAAAATTATATTTTTTATCAACGTCTGAAAAAAAAGATATTAATAGCTAGCAATGTACTTAAATTTTAAGACCAGATTGGAAGGCCTAAATAAAATGTCTTCTTCTTTAAAATTTGAATAACATAAACATCACTTAAAATATGATTTTATATCCATATACTATTGACAATTGAAGTAAATGGCGATCTATTTGTTGATACAATAAAATGTTAAAATTGTATAAATTTTTTTCACTTAGGTCTGGGTGACACCTGTAACCTGTTAGTGGTCATTTCAACACAAATTTAACATATTTTTTAATTTTACAGTTGAAATATAGGTAGTTTAAGGCTACAATAAATTACATAAGCAAATTTCAAAAAATTAGATCTAACTAGTATAGGGATGTAAAATAGATTTTGAAGTGACGATTTTGTTACTTTTATTATGTAGAAGGGTTGTATTTTGACCTTTAAAATTGGGCTTAGGCTTTCATGTTGGGTTAGTGTTTTTTGTGTAATTACATATAACATTACGTTCTATGATAAGCTTATAAGTAGGGCTAGGATTTTGTAGCATTTGCATTTTCTTTCATAGTACTCCAGGACATAGCTAATCAAAAATAAAATTCGATTCATTCATCACAGAGTTCAAATATGCAATTTTGTTTTTGCTTTTTTTGCTTTTTCTTGTGATATTCGTAAATAAATGCTTTATTGGTACTTTTTTGTCAGTTTATTAGCTTTTTAATTGGTTTTTGTTAATTATACGCATATTTAACATTTACGTACATATTTATCTAAATTATTATTTTTTCATTTATTTTAATTATATATATTTTGTGAATTCGTAGTGAAATATTATCGCCTTATCGGAAAATATTTCTGAAAATAGATTCTTAGATTTTGTGATTACTGTTTACCGAGTGGGGAGTAGTGGT